ACACAAAAGAAGCGAGAAGATTCCAAGAAAACGTACATGCCAAGCTAAGTAAGAAAGACAGAACGTAGACAGTGATGCCAGGCCATGTGTGTAGCACGAACTTCGGGATTTGGTGGAAGTGAACGACGAAGAATGCAACGGCGGCGGTGATAAGCAACTGCACGAAGATGATTGCGTAAACCTTCCGAATAAAGGCCCAACGGTACTCCGGGGTCTCCAGCATCGTGGGATACAGGGCACTGCCGCCGGTTTCAATATCGGATTTTCTCATGTTTACGCAACAGAATAATCGGAGGTTTTGGGTTTTGGTGGTGAGTTCTCGGCGGTAATTGACAGAAAGTGAAGGAATAGCTTGACCGCGTGAAAATAAGAGGGAACTTAGTCTTGCGCTTGGTTTTGCTTAAGAAGAGGGCCATATAGATTCTGAACTACAAAATATGATACATGCTGAACGACGACACGGTTGGAAACAGAGCAATCGGGAATGAGGAGATTACTAATAAATTGATTTGATTTCATTGCAAAAATTTAAAATTATTTAAATTACACTTAAAATAATTTATAATTTATAATTTTTCTTACTAAACATTTTAGTATCCATAATGTTATAATTATAATATTAGGTAAGATTGTAAATTTACAATTTTTATAATTTTTATGTGATATTTAATAAAATATAATATTATTAAATAAATGAATACATATAATATCAGATGAATTCTAAATTAATTATATAATAATACATCATATTGCATGCTTATAATATTAAGTGGTATTGTAAATATAATATTTTTATTTTGGTATCTAGAAGTTATTTTAATTTTTAACTAATACTGAATTAAATCGAATCTAATAAGGAAGAATATCTTAGTACATATCTTTTTATTTATAAAATTCAAATTAAAATCTTATAAATCGAACACCTTCTATTTAAACATTATTTAATAGTTTAAAATTTAAAATTAATAAAAAGTAATAGCAATTTAATTTTAAATTGATTTTATAATTTAATTATTATATTTTCTTATAAAATAAAAAAGAAAAAAATTAAAAAAAAGTAATAGTAATTTAATTTTAAATTGATTTTATAATTTAATTATTATATTTTCTTATAAAATAAAAAAGAAAAAAATTAAAAAAATGTTGAACTAGCTTAGATTTTAAATAGATAAACTCTTTTTTAGTAGGATAACATAAGTATTCGAAAAGAGAATAGTACCTATCTTATTTATTTCCTAAAAGTTAAAAGAAAAATTATTTAAAAATTATGTAGTACCTATTAGTTTTATCTTTTAAAGATTAAAAGAAATGATCTAAAAATTATGTAGTTTTAATGAACTCTTTTTGAAAAAGGACTAAGGGCCTATTTGGTTTAGTTTATCGGAGTTTTTGTTTTTTTAATACTGTTCATAAATGATAAATTTAAATTTTTATTAGAGAAAAAATTTAAATGTTATTTTTAGAAATAAGAAAAAATGAGTAAAAAGTAAATAAAAATGAAATTTATAAAAAGTAAAAGTTTAAAACTTTTGAATTTTCACTGTTTATGATCATTTTAAAATTTAAAAAAAAAATTAAAATGTAAATTTTCAAGAGGAAAATTTAAACTTATGAAATATGAATAATATCAAATAACTAAAACTCTAAGAAACTAACCCAAACATGTTCTAAAGCATCATTTTTAAAAGCATGAATTTCTTGTCTTTTATAATATTTTATTAAAATGACTTAATTTTAGAATTTTTTTTAAAATTTTTAAGAGGTAAGATGAATAAATATTAATTCATTCAAAAATAAAAATATTTCTTTTTTGAATAATATATCTATCAAAAATTCAATATCACTGAAGGTAATGGGTAAGCTTCACGTATGAGGGTGTTGGGTTTAACCTATTAAAATTGTTTGATCTCAAAGGATTATTTTGAATTGACCTTTTGTTAAATTATTAAATAATTTGTATACTTTTTATTTTAATATATTGTATAGTATATTTATAAAAAAATTTATTATTATTTTACTATAAAATAAAAAATAATTAAATTTAAAAATATAATCATATATACAATATATAAAAATATACTAAATTAATTATATTTATATTATATCTTAATAACTAAACTATATAATATCCAAAAAAGTATTAAATCAAATAATATAATTATTATTTTTCAAAATTATTTTTTAACCATTTGAACCAACCTTAATTTGGTTAATAACAGAAGAACTTATTCATCAAGTAAATATATTATCCAAACAAATACTGTTAATTAAAAATTTCAATGAACACTCCACTCAGCAGATAAATTCCGCCCTCCATTTTTTAAACAAAACAATTGCACCCAGCGTAGCCTGTTAGTAATATAGAGTCGAGAATACAAGAGAATCTGAGAATGGTCACCGATGAGTAGCAAAATGGAGCTCTTCAGGGTTCACCGCCGGAGAGTATAGTGAGCATTGCCATGAAAAGATTGATAATGTCGACATAGAGACTGACTGCAGCCAAGATGTAATCGTCATAGCTACAACGCTTGATCAACTCATTGGTATCATACACAATATAACCACAGAAAATTGTTGCCGCAAGGTATCCAAATATCATCACTGATAACTTTCCAAGAGGTATAAAGATCTGTCCATTGAAAATGGGTCATGAATCAGATACAAGAGAAAAGGTAAGTAAGGAATTAGATTCATTTAGGAATTTGACACAAACCTGGATAAGAGAAAAAACAAGAAGCACCAAGATGGAACAGAACAAAGCTGGTCCAAGGAAGCTAAAATCATGCCCCCTCTTTACTGCCCAGAATGTATAGAGTGTTAGGCCAACAACTGCAACGCTTGTAAGGGCAATAGCCTCAAAAACGATCGTCCCTGAGTAGGAAACATAAACTAGAATGAATTCATGGCTTTCAACAATTTTCAGTCATCAAGAAGTTTACGAAGAAATCAAGTTACATTTTGACATTATATTAATAGTATGTTCGGTTTGAATGAAATGTAGTGAAGGTGAATGGGAGGATGTCTCACTTCCCCTCCCCTCCTCTCATTTGGATAAACAAAAGGAAATAAAAGAAAATACAAGTAAATAACATCCTTCCCCTCCCCTCCAATTTTTTTTAACCAAATTAAGGATTTTTTCCCCCTTGCCTCCTCTTCACTCAAACCAAACGCAAACATACTGCAAAAATTTGGTTTCCTTTGATGTTTGATCCATACTTCATGATCAAGACAGACAACAGCAGAATAAAGAAAACAAGGAGAAACTGGGATTTATATACATTGATTGATCATACCTTTGTAAAAGGAACAAGTGAGTCCCACACCAAAGGAAAATGAGATGGTGAACAGCCCAAGAAGAAAAAAGTTCAAAGGATGACGGTTGTGAAATTTATGCAGGAGGAATATAACTGCAAAAATCAACAAAATAAACCCACTCATCAGCAAAAATTTCAAAGAAATTATCCACAATGTCACTTCATATCCTATAATTCACAAAAAAAGTTCCACCAAAACCCTCAAAGCTTTCAATGAAGCATCAGAACAATTCCCAATAATCTATCAAAATTTAGAAAGAACCCAAGAAAAGCTGCATAAATGTCAATTTGTACGGCAATAATGAAACGAAAGATACAGAGGAAATGAATATGTGCACAAATTGGAAATATGAAGAAGTGATTGTTCAATCAATCCACAAAATGCTAGCAAAACAAGACGACACACACATACATACACCAACACAAAGCATGAAAATGAATCAATAACACCCCAATAACCCAAGAGGTTGTAGCTTGGTTGCTAAGGAGGCCATGAAGAATAACTCCAGATAAATTCTCTAGTTTGCCCTGCCTTTGACCAATTTCACATAATCCCTCAACAAGGCAATAACCCAAGTAAGGCACCGCAAAGAAAAGGGAAAAAAAGGCCCAAATGGCTATCTCAGCTATTTGGGACGTCCCAAGTTTGAAACTTTTAGGCAAGTGTATAGCCCACCCATCAAATATACAGAGAAAAAAATTGGAAGGGCAAGGGAATTAAGAGCCCAGCAAGAAAATTAAGCTTACGTATCAAGGAAACGACAAGAGAAAGAATGTAAATGACAATGCCCGGGATTGTGTGTCGGACGTAAAGCCCGATATTGGGGAGTGAAACGACGGCGAATGCAACGGCGGCAGTGAGCAGCAACTGTACGGATAAGATTGTGTAAACCTTCCTAATAAACGCCCAACGCAGCTCTGGGCTTTCACACATCGTGGGATACAGAGCACCGCCAGTTTCAATGTCGCCTTTCCCCATTGTAACACAACAATCACAGGGAAAGGGATGAAGCTGGGATATTTTTCAAAAAAGCAAGAATTGGGGTTTCAAGGAAACCCAATTCTTAATTCTGTCTGACAACATAGAAAGTGCAGGAAAATGTTCAACAAAGCGCGTTTGGTAGCGGGTTTCTAGGGTCCGGTACAAAACGGACGTCGTAGGTTAGCAATCTATTTTTAGGAATGTACAAACAATATGAAACAAATCCAATATTTCTAGGTTTCGTTTTTAGATTTTCTCAAAAAAAATTCACACCAGAATCAAAATTGAAACCGCAAATGCTATCCTGTCATTGAATAAATAAGATACTACACATTAATCTTTAAATAAAAAAATAATTATATAAGGGTTTTTTCAAGTAAAAAAGGCAATACTTAATTTATTAATAATTTAATTAAATTTATTTATATGATATAACATTAAAATTAATATTAATTTTAATATTTTTATATAAATTTATAATAAAAAAATATTTTAATTTATATTTTAAGAGTACAAATTAAAAAAATTAATATATAATAACATTATAATTATAAAATTAAAAAAATATATATTACGTACTCTATTACAATTTAAATTATAAAATAATAATATCAATTTATAACACCATGGTAAAATTGTAATTATATTATATTTGAAATTAAAGTTCAATAACAGAAAAGCAAAATCCACCGAAATAAGAAAACAAAAATGGGCCCAAGGCTCCCACCCTAGAAATAAATACTAAAAAAATGCATACAATTGGCTCAATACGTTGCAATGTAAAAAAAATGCAAATTCCAGCCCAAATCTGATCTCTGAAGTTTGAACCCATGATAGAGATGTTGGGCTCGCCCAATTCCAAGCTTTTAAAAAACATATCCAAACATATTTGGGAGGAGCTGGAAAGTAAAGTTCTTTTGTGCCATTGGCTGAGCTATAAATACCACACATCCAACTTATCCCCTTAATCCAGACAAATCTGAAAAAGAAACAAGAGAACATGGCTGCCTCCACAGCAGCTGCTGCTGCTGCTGCTGCTGCTACAAATGTTTTTGAGATTGGTAGCTACAGGACTCTGGTCCAGAGAGTGGAGTCTTCTTCAGTGCTGCCTGCTCCACCTCCGAAGCCGCTGCTGATTGCTAGCCCAAGTGAAGCAGGAGACTTCCCCATCTTGATTTTCCTCCATGGTTACCTCCTCTTCAATTCTTTTTACTCTCAGCTCATCCAACATGTTGCTTCTCATGGCTTCATTGCTATTGCTCCTCAGGTATTTAATCCCCTCTCATCATATTAAATTACCCTTTTTTATTAGTTTTTGCACTTGGGAATTAAATTAAATTTCTTTTTATACAATTATAGTACAAGAATTTGGAAGTTAGGAGATCCAGTCGAAATCTTATACAATTACGCTACAAGAGTTTGGAAAATAATATATAAAAATTATTTGTTTATTTTTGAAGTGATATTATTATATTAATTTATTTGTATTGTGATATAAAATTACAAAACTTAAATTATTAAATAAGAAAGAATTTTTATTATTGAGTTGTGGCTGTTTTATATCTAATAATTTTTTTTAATTTAATATAATTTGAATTATAAGACAACACAAGGATAATTTTGAATATTAAATTAAAAAATCCATCTGGTAAACGTGTATAAATAGTTTCTACCCGTACTATAGTCACTTATTTTTGTAAGATTAGGCTTTTCATTTAAAAAAAAAAAAAAAAATCTTTATCCCTCTATTTCCCCATTTCTCCGCTATTGCCTTAGCTAATAAGTAAAAAGATTCACCATCTGATATTGGTATCTTTTGGTTTTTTTCTCCTGCATTTGAATAAAGGATGCTTCTTGCCATCCACAAAATAGGTTGTCTTTTTCAAGGTAACATGGCAACACCATTCGGATCTTATCCTTTTGTCCAATAATTACTGGGCAAAACCATAAGTTAAGCCCCTGAACTAACCCCAGAATTGCTATTAAGCCCCTAGACTTTAATTGATGCAGTTAAGCCCTTGAACTCTGGGAT